GCTGATTACTGACTTTTCTGGCTAAATATTAAACTGAAGCCATTTTATTTGGCTGTAGGTAATGAACAATTTAGCAAGCATTTATGAAGGACAAGTTGGTTCTTCCAACCTAATTCTGCATTAAATTAATAATCACTCTCTTTCCCCCTTTTTTCCTCCCTGGCTTTCTAGATGAGAGAGAGTAACTACCTTCTCTGTGAGCCAGTAAAGGCATCATAGCCAATGCAATTTATAAAGGGACCAAGAATACAGATAACAACAACAAAACCCAGACCAGACGGTTTCTGTGGCAATTACTCAAGCATCAACTAATTCAGAACGAAGTGTAGTGCAAATATGGGGAAGAGTTAAAACATAGCACACACCAAACCCCTGAAACTCTTGTAGAAAAACAATGGGATTTTTCTTCCTAAAAAAGCTCCATTTGCTCCATTGCCCAAGGGTTCCCCAAACAGTGCTTTTGGAGCAAGAGAAAACCAGAAAGGCAAACCTTGATTTTGTGTCTGAAGTTCAATGAAATGCAAAAAGAGCGAAGATCCATCATGTTTGATTCCCCTTACAAGTTTTTGCTTTGGTAAACTAAGATTAATACTGACCAGTGTTAAGGAGTGCATGGCAAAGCTGCACTGGCATGGCACTGCACCGTGGTGGCAGCTGAGGACCTGGGGACCTGCCTATGTGGGGAAGTCACCCTACAGCAAAGACTTAGCTGTTCGGCAACAACTTTGAGCTCACTGGGCTCTCGAAGACACTAATGCTGGTTTGGCACATGTTAGGAAGGTCCACCTGCAGAATCAGTAAAGACCAGCTAAGGGTGCTGTGAAGTTCATGTCCTCTTCCCTCCCACTGAACACCCACGCAGGGAAGCCCCAGGACACCCTCCAGGTCAGCATCTCTCAGAGGCCTTCTCAGATGAAAGAAGGCTAGAGGACATGCAGCTGAAAGCCTGCCTCACTGCACCCGGGGATTTAAGCCATGACGGTGGTGGTGTGGCATCGTTACCAGGCAGTCGCTCTCCCGAGGCCCTGTGCACCCCGCAGCACACTGGTTGTGGCAGCAGTCACTGGGCACCTTTCCCCGGCACCGACCAGAGCACTGCTGGGCACAGATGACTTTCGTTACTGGAACACACAAGAAAAAAGGAAAAACATCAGGAGCGAAGAACGTTTAAGCTGTACTTGCCACAATGAGATCAAGAAATAGGGAGAAAAGGTCTGGTGTAGAATCTGTGCTAGATTTTCCCCATGGGATGCATATTCTGTCCTCATATAAGGCCAAAGCTTGGGAGGAGTGAGAGCTGGTGTGGGTGGTGGCGAGAGGGGGGTTGTGTTCAGCCCGTAATTATCTTGGCTCTTGTGAGGTGCTAAGCACTCCAGTCCCAGCCAGCAAACCATGTCCTGCTTAGAAAGAGCATCCAGGTCCCTGTGGCATCAATGCCTAAACCAAAAAAACCTCAGTGGAGTCATTCCATCTTACAGCTGGGCAATAGAGCAGGATCTGGCTCCATTTTATTGAGAGAATCTGCTATTATTGGTGCTAGCTTTGGGAAAAACAACACGACAGGAGATCTGCCAGGACTCTGTACTATAACGGGAAACCATACATTGTTGGTGTGGTGTTAAGATCCCTTCAATGCCCTAAAAGTATTTCTGAAATTTGCAGAGAGAGGGGAGACCCACTCAGCAAACTGACTTCATATACATATTGTAGTATTTTTCTTTAAGCTTCAATTCCTTGGCCAAATTTTATCTTCATTACTCAACTCCCACAGGGTTTGCACCAGTGCAGCAACGCGGAGGAAGAGCTGGCCCTGATTCAGCTTTTTGCAGGGAAGCAAAAACTGCTTGCAACATTTTGTTGAGAATCGGGAAATCGTCTCCATTTGAATATCAAAGCAGAGAAAACGATAATCAGAACAATTAAAAAAACCCCAGAAATTAATGGCTAGCCTATGTTTGTACCAGAAACCCAAAATGGGACTGTTTGTCCCTTATAAAAAAATTACTGATCCACAGACCCTGGCATTAGACGTCAGAGAAACCTGCTGGCTAATCCGCTGCATTACAGCACTCCGCATTTCGGCTGTGCACTACAGTAACCATTATCAACTTTGCAGTTGGCACAAATGAGTTATAATATTAGCAGGAATTCCTGTAAGTCTGAAACAGGTGGTTGTTAATTAACAGAAAATTATTGGAAAATGTAGCCTGCTACAGGGTATATAACAGTGATTTTTTAAAAATCACATTTCCTGTCTTTTTCCATTACACATTTTAGTATCCAAACTGTATTATTTAATTTTTCTCGTAGGCCTGTAAGCAAGATATTATATTTTCAAGGAAACAGGTTATTTCCACAATATGCGTTAGCTTCTCTGATAGCAGCTCCTCCATTCAACTAGAAACAGGGGAATAAAAGGCACATTGTTCTACACGAACAGCATTTTGATTTTTTTTTTATAAGCATTAGCAGGGGAGTAAACCAGCTCGTCACTTTGATAGCTATTGACTAGAGCTTCCTGTTGGAAACATGTATCATGGCAAGCGTTTATATTTCATACAGAATATCTCACATTTGTCGAAGGAGAAAGATATATATCACCCCGAACTTTCCCACATATGGAAATGTGGGATACATTTTCAGTTGGCCAGATTCTCAAATGCCTTGAAAGGAGAGCCAAAGCCTGCAAACGGTTTCATTTTATGCGCTCCTAGTCATCCTCCTGAAGCCAGCAAGAGTAAATGCTGGAAGCTTGCAGGGCTGAGACCTGAGGTGCTGCAAGCCCCCGGGACAGCCGTGCGGTCTCAGCTGCTGGGACCCACCTGGGACAGGCTTTGTGTGTGCAGCCACTGTCCACCTGAGGAGCAGCTCGAGGCATGAGCCAAACTCAGAGCTGACTGAAAAAAACCCTAAAGCTTATACTAAATGAAGAGAGAGAAGCTGTGTGTTCCTTTTTCCTTAAGCTCTAGAAGCCGTGCAGATTTGGCCTGATACTTGCAAGCAAGAAACTTAGGTTTAGGTGATTATTTGCAATGGAAAACCGAAGATAAGATGTTGCTTTCATTTGCATTATGTCTAGATCAGCATTCTTTCCACTGAACTTTACATAAAACTGGCAGGAAAGAAGAATTGGAAACAGTGCATTTCCCTACTTCTTACAGAAAAATGAAATAATGAAGTATCAAAGCAAACTGAGATGGGCTTCCTCCTCAGCCTTTACTTTAGGAGAAGTAAAGCCTTGCAAAATCTTGAGCACTTCTAAATGGGTGTTTCTGTTGCTCTCTTCATATCAGGCAAGCATCCTACCTGCAAAATTTTACAGTAAAGCATAGGAAACCAAACTGAACAACCTCACAATGCCAAATATCTCTACAAATTAAAAAATGGCTATGCACTTTCTGAGAGCCTCCCAAAGGTCCTCTGAGTACAGTATGTAGTGTGATTACCCACATGAAAGTGACATCTTTTATATTTACAAAAGAAACCTAGGGGGATTCCAAAAAGAGGAATTAAAGCCAACAAAAATTGGTTTATGTTGTTGCTTCTAATAGTAGAATTTAATCCAAAGTATTGTTAACTAGCCTGCAGAATGACTCTGTGGGAAACAGCAGGAAGGCAAACAATTCACCATGCAGCTACTGCGTTCTCTCTTATATGGTAAAATAGCTTAAAGAATAAATGTTCTCAAGTGCAGATGGAAGAAAGTTGTGGGCAACAGACAAAAGCTTTCAACAGGGGAGAGAGCTGCAGCCTCTTCCCTCTGGAGGAACAGCACATCTGCAGGGAAACCCAGACCCAACTCAAACCACACTGAGGTTTCCCCTCCAGAAATGGAGCTACTCGGGGGGAGTGGGCACGGCTGTCCTCCCCACAACTGGGCTTCTGTAGAGCGGGAAGCAGGCCACATCCCTCCATGGTGTGCTTCAAGGAGCCCCAGTGTAGTGGGATGCAGAGAAGGACAAGTGTGAAGCATGTGTAACTAATTTGCGCTTGACAGGTTAGTTTTTCGGTCGATAGGAATTCAGTGTGTCAGAGCACACAAGATATTTCTTAATTGATCTGCAGGCTTACATGTCTGGCAGTTCTGTTCACCAGGGCCCCAGCAGTGGTCTTCGGTGCAGTTTGGATGGCATTTGGGACCTAAAACATGAGAGCAGAGTATTATATTCTGTAAACATGGACAACAACATCACATGAGTCACAGAAAACAAAGACTTGAGCTTTCCTTCTCAATATATCAGGGGAGGAAGCACTTATATACTAGCGCTCAAAAATGTGGAGAGTTGGAACTTAAATCATAGAATCATAGAATCGTTTAGGTTGGAAAAGACCTTTAAGATCATCAAGTCCAACTGTTAACCTAACACTGCCATCCCACCACTAAACCACGTCCCTAAGCACCAGATCTATCCTTCTTTTAAATACCTCCAGAGATGGGACTCCACCACCTCTCTGGGTAGCCTGATCCAATGTTTGACAACCCTTTCGGTGAAAAAATTTTTCCTAATGTCCAACTTAAACCTCCACTGGTGCAACTTGAAGTATTGCCCGTTACCTGGGAGAAGAGACCAACACCCACCTCACTACAACCTCCTTTCAGGTAGCTGTAGAGGGCGATAAGGCCCTTACCCTTTGTCCATCTCTGGTTTCCTACGTGCAGTTCTCCACACCTTTAAGCATGCAAGTGCAATACCCAGCTAGTCTAGCTTATGAAAGAGGCATATTTTTCCCAGGAACAGGAATCTCAGCTACTGCCCAGCTGGCCCTCCTGCTGGAGTTTGCATGCAACGGCAAGTCACCACTGGTTTGCAGCCGGGCATGTGCCAGCTGCTCACTACAGGCCACATGCAAATCAGTGTTTCTGAACAACGTGGTTCTAAAAAGAAAACAAACCCAACTGGATTCGCAGGCAACTGCCAGCTACTCTGACCACAAAGTAATTCAACTTGTCTGCTTCATGCCCGCCTCCCATCCTCTGCCAAAAATATTCCTCGGCATAGGACTATGCAGCAGATGGACAATCAATGGAGAGGCGGCAGGATCATGGACACTCTGCCTGACCTTGAAGGTTCAGTGCCAGGGTCTTTCCCATCCCTCTCTCCTTATTCTTTTCTTTCTTTTTCTTTCTCTTAATGACAAGCAAACTCCTAGGGAAACAACTGATTTTAGATTATGGGATCATTATTAAAACCATAAACGGCTGTCTAAGCAGATTAATCTGGAATTCACTACATTTAAGAGGCATTTCCTGCTAGAGTGATTCTTCCTGGTAACAACACGTGATTCTCCCTCCCCCCACCGCCCATCAAACAGCTGAACAAATGCCAATATTTGTCCAAGAGTTGATTGATTTGGTGTGGGACCAAAGAACATTTCTTTTTTTAAAGTTGAAAAGTTAAAGGTTAACTTTTCTATGGTGTTTAGAGGCTCTGCTGACTTGTACCATTCACAGTCTCTTGATTATGCTAGGGCTCCACAGAAAAATACGTCAACAGTGAAGCTGGCTATTAGCTCTCAGGCAATCACACAACTGGAAGAAGATAAAATGTGGTTTACTGCCAATTTACAATGCCAGAAATTAAATGCTCAGAAATTAAAATAAACTCTCCTTTCTGTGAAATGACTAGGGATTTTACAAGGGACACATAAGGCTGAAGGATTAGCTTGAGCCCACTCAAAGCATATGCTACACAACTTTTTAATGTATGCTCATTTAAAGCATCAGCTTTATCTGCCTGTTTATCATTAATTTTGCAAGGATAATCTGTACAGCCCAAAACAATAGAATTTTACAGCACTCAGCTTGGGCCTTAGTGCTAAAAAGGCTTCAAGTCCCACAGTAACTCCATGAAGGTACCCATATGGGTCTTCTAGACCAGAGCCTTATATTATAAGCAGAAGATTGCTGGAAAACAAATGAGTGCACATTATTCTGAGCTGTCTTTGAAGAAACACATATGTAGGGCACTGTCTGAAACCAAGAGAAGCTTTCCCAAGAACTTTGATGAGCTCTGAGTTAAGGATCTAACCACCATGAAAAATTACATCTTAGTCCAGTGGTGAAGAAATGAGTGGGCTTCCATTGGAACAGGGCTTGGTGGCCCAGCATGCAAGAACTGGTGGACCTGAAACCCACTGCACGAGAGATGGGACATCCATTCTCCTCTCTGAAATGGGGGAGTGCATAGCATTTTTGGTAAGTTAATACTCACAAGAAGATAGGTTGCTTGCAAATTCAAGCACTGTGAGAGGCTTCTTGCTCGTGTCAATGATGTCATTCCAGAGAACAGTGTCCATGTTGCACAGTTTGGGGTTGTTGCTGATTTTAACACCTCCATTGAGAATTTCTGCCAAGGAAGGAAAAAAATTGCTAAATGAAGCAAACTGCCTAAGTTTTCTGTCTCTGATCTAAAGAAAGGGAAATAAAACACGTGTTTCTTCACATCAGTCACACTACGCTGACAGAAAAGGACAATCTGCATGGCACCAGGCTCACACTGACAGGTTCTGGAGGGTTGGCTGCTGCTGCATGCCACTGAGATGCCACTACACGTGGCTTTCTGCCTGCTGCCACCTCCAGAGGCCACTGCACTCAGTAGAGATGTCACTGATGGTGTGCACAGCCAGAGACCATCAGCCAGAGACCATGTAAGACCCTAACTCACATATCACCAGCTCCCACTGGAATTTAACAGAAAATACTGATGTGCATGTGCTGGAATCAAATAATGCAAAAAAACAAATGGATACTTCTTTGCCATTTTGGGGGACACAAATAAATCTCACCACCCTGCTGATGCTCCGGATTTTCTGGATCTTTCTGCAATGGGAAGTTATGAACTTTCTTCATCTTTTGAAAAGGGCTGGCTAGCAAGAAAGCAATAAGGAAACTGGGAAACTACATTCAGATCCTTGTTTTTAAAGCAGGATTTGATGGCATACGACTTTGAGAGGAGATTTTCAATTGGATTCTGATACCAATAACGTAACAGTCAAAGTTTGCTTTACAGGTACCTCCACCTCTAGCCCTCATCTCACCTGATAGCCGTTTCATTGGCAGCTCTCGGAGTCCTTGGGTTTTATTCATGTGGTAATTTGATAAAACTGCCAGGGCATAAGAGTTGTCATACAGCACATTGCCTCGGATGATCTGGAGGTTTTCTAGGGGGATGACATCCACCATGTTAAGCGCGATGAGCACGTAGCCTGCAACCTCCTGTATCGTCTGAGAGAACAACAGAAGAAACAAGGTGTTTAATCCATAGCTCTCTTCTTTCTGCCTCCCACCCCTCCAATCCACCACCTTCCCATTTTAAAGAACGATAAACCACTTAATCTCATTTAAAGAAAAAAATAAATCTGAGAACAAGAAGAGACTGTGTGGAAAACTTTGCTGTCTAAGCAGGTATAAACTGACCCTTAGAGCAGCTACCAGGGGGTCATTCCAAACATCCAGCTTGTCCCTGTTCTGTCCTCAAGCAAGGGCAAGGGCATGAACAGGCCAAGCATGTATGATATGGCAACCAAGCGTGATGCTTCCCCTGAATATTTGCCTGGCCTCCAATCACTGGCAGCACAGAGATGCCACCTGACTGAGACTTTTACACTCTCTCTTCTGTGCCCCTTCCCTTGCGGATCCTCCAGTGCTCAGCAGAGGGGAAGATCAAGTAACCTCCTCCCTCTTACATAATAAATAGTTACAGGACAACAAGGCAAGAGAGGCTCTGTCCTTGGATGTAGGCAAATTCCTGACTTGTACTGTGAAATGTGTACATTTCTACCACTTCCTACAAAAATCACCATAAATTAAAAACCGTCAGGCTACCACTTAGGGTATTTTCCTATTCTATGAAGACTACCAGTGAGTTTTCAAGAGACCTGTTATATTCCTGGGAACACTGAACTCCATGGTGAAGTTGTGCTTGGGAAAGAAAAATGGCAATATCATCATACTTGTAACCCACATGCCTGAACCATCTCTTTTCTGATGTTCTTGCTTATTACTATAATAAAATTGGGTTTTTTCCTTTCTTTGTTCCCTGAGAAGACAAGGTTGCACAAAGAGATTACTCCTCTCAACCCAGAGGACTGACCTGTTTATTCAAAGCTACCATACAAGAGCTCTTGATACCAGACATACAGTTATCATGTCAAAAAAACTTCTTCCTCTCCTGCCTCTTTCTTTGAAAGCCTCCTAATCTGATAACCAGGCATGTGAAAAGCATAGCATTTTAAAACATCTTCTTTTAAAAAAAAATAACCTAAGGTGCAACACTATTGATACTGGTGGGAGCCTGGCAGTGGGGCAGCAGAGCTGTACCCCTTGCCTGGTCTCTGCTGGTGGAGAACCTGGAGGTCCCCATGGCAGACAGTGCTCCTTCCCGTGCTGCGGCTGCGTTTTAACATCCATCCCATCTGCTACCCTCTCAGCTTGCCATGGTCGCTCATGCACTTGTGCACAAAACAAATGTTGAGATGGGAGTAGCCTGCATGTCAACTACAGAGCATTATCTAGAAGGTCGCTCAAAGTGTCCACGTGGAAAGTCATTGTACAGGACCTGCCTGCCTGCTTGGGGTGCAGGCGCTGCAGGCTGGAGAGGCACTCACCATCATGGCAGGGGAAGGTGTCACAGCTTGGAGGGCAGGGTAAGGGCCTCCACACTTCAAAATCTGCCATCAGTGAGTTGCCAGTCTGTGATTTGCTTTGCCCAACAGCACCACGAAAACTTTTGCCCTCTGAGCAGTGAGGCAATGCGTAAGGATGCAATAATATTTATAAATAAGAACAAACCCTTCTGCATGGCAGCCAGCACAGGTTGGCAGGTGCTTGAAAAGCTATTTCCCAAAGTACCTGATTTAGTATAGTAGGGTGGAGTATATCCTGCAGCCTACAGGTATGCTGAGACCGTGATCTGCATCAGCTAGCTATGTTTTTGGATCACCACAGAATTTTACAGGTAGCTGACCCTTTGCACTTAAAAAACACAGTAAGATTCCTTTAGCAGGGAGGGCCACATTGGCCAAGAACACTAACCTTCAGGAATGAGAGGTCACGATTGTGCTCCACGTATGTAATCTCCAGGTTGCTCAGTACCACCTCGCAGTTGTTGTACATCCTCTGCAGGCTGGTGAAATGGTCTTCCACATGTCCCAGCTGGGTCAGCTTGTTATTTGTCCCTTGACAAACTGTAGAGGAAAGAAGAAAGCTCCGTGAAGGAAAGCAAGAATAAGTACAGGGTAAAGACTTGTTGCTCACTTATCTTTACAAGCACCACAGTAAGTGAAGCATCAACACTGATTCGTAAGAAACAAGAACGTTATCTTGCATGACCCTAATGGCAATAGCGTAGGGAGCATGTGGCATTTCCCAAGCACAAAGATGTACCAGAATTAAGAGCTGGAATAACCCTCCATCACTTTCTGATATACAAAATCTCCCAAGATGAGGTTTTTGTACATAAATAAATAGCTCTAAGTTTTCTGTACCACAAACATAACTCAGTTCCTGAGGAGAGGGCATTGATACAGTGCCATCAAACGCTATTGAAAGTGGTATGCTGCCCAGGTATCACCAAAGGCAATTTCCCTGAGGACTCATTTACAATACTTTGGGGGGCACTGGGTCTCCTTGTAAGCTCAGTAGGAGGGACCAGGGGTTTCCTGCAGGACCCCTCAAGCTCTCAAACCAAGTCTGGGTTTTGAGAGCAAACCGAACCTCTAGGGCTCACACATCTCTCACCACTCTGATAAATGGGAGTATGGTAGATTCAGGAGATTTCCTAGCATATTCAGCTTTGGCACACAAATCCACCTAAGCCTGCTTTGCTGGTGGGAAAGGAAGCGGTGCCATACAGACCATCACTGAGATTACAAACATTTATAATGGCATGGTGGAAAAATTAGGCCCCACCTGAAATTCTATTACTCAGCTTTACCAAACATAGAGGAACTGTCAAGCTATCACCACTATATTTGACTGTAATAAAAGAGCAAAATGCAAATTGTTTTAAAGAAAAAAAACACCACCACACAAGCCTCAGAAAGTCTGTACTCTTCCAGTCATTCCCTGGGCTATCCCTACATAGCTAAAATTAAAACATTTTGAGTAATGCCAGTACAAAGGAAGTGAGAACGATACAGAAGGCAACGTGGTAAAAGACTTCACAACACCATCCAGGTGGAAAACTTCAGCCCATTTTTGCTCTTTAGTGAGAGCACAAGGAGGCCTTTATCTCATTGTCACTGTAATGCAACCCAAGCCTGACCTCATAGCTTTCCATAAGACACCGGAAGAATTGCATTCTTTTAACTCAGAGAAAAAAATAAATGAAATTATACTTTTGTAGAGCCATAATTCCCAGAAGCACCAGTCACAAACTGGAACACCATTGTGTGGGTTGCTATAAAGCAAAAAAGAAGGACTCTTGACAAAGCTGGAGATGAGTTTCAGAGCTAGTAACATAAGACAACACCTGTTGAAGATTTACCAAACAATCGATGTTTTATTGGTAAGAAAAATAACTTAATAAGCAGCGATAAAGACACACTTATCAATCACCAAAACCATTCCCTGAGCATGTATTACTTCTCAGTACAGTCATTACCATTAAGGAGCTACAGGGATAACAGATTAAATACTCTTTGTCAATGCTTTAAGCAAGGCTATTCACTCATGTTCCTCAGTCATTTCTCATAATACGTCTTTATGTGATGGTGTTTGGGATCAGAGTGGCAACTGATAGTAAATGGGGACAGTTTAACAGGAGTTGTGATTACAATGTCTAAGCCACTCGTTACACATGAGGATGAAGTGTAGAAAATAACCCTTTTTACATTTGCCTTGAATTTCTGTAATGGATGAGAAATTCCTGAGCAGAATTTTCTGTTCCGGTTTCAAACTTAACTGTTCCAACATGCTCTGCTTAAAATCAGCATTTGTGTTCCTCCAGCAAAGTAAAAAGCCAGTAACTAAAGATTCTCAGATGGTTCAAAACCTCAGCTTGAATGCTCAGTTTAGGCATCTCAGATCTGATCTATAAAATGGTGTGATTTCGAAACACACTGAAACACAATGCAGAAGCAGGTGCAGTTTAGACTGTTCAGAGATAAAGACACATAAGTCAGGCTGTTCTGATCTTCAGGGTCCACAAATGTCCTGATGCTGTGTCCCTGGTGTTAACAGCACAGATCTGCCCTGGTACTCAAGACAGGCCCTATGCAGAAGCTGCAGTATTTATACAACACCTGAACCAAAGGAAGGGTGGAAGGAGGACCCTTCTGTGGCAGCATCCTCCTGGCCACCCATACCCACCATTGACCCTAAATGGCTTAGCACTGGTTGGATTGCAAAGTCCAGCTCATTGAAAGAAGCCCTAGGAAAAACTGCACACACTTGAACATCTTTTTCTTGGGATCAGACAAGTGCTGGAGCTCTGAACTTGGCTCATCTGTCCTGAGAAACACAGACTTTTTCACCGCTTACTAGGTAAAGGCCAATGCAGCAGGTGGAGGTCATGGTTACTCTTGCACTTCTCCCTCTCCCATGGACCTGCTCAGTGACCCATGCCAAAGAATCGATTCAAGCTACAAACAATTCAGAACAATAAATAAATAAATGGACAAGAGGGTATTTTTAGCTCAGGAAAGCTTGCTGATTTGGTTCACCATGAACTGATTTGGTTTACCCCATGAACCGCTGTATTAGAAGCAGCTCCAGGACAGCAAGGAGGCAGGAGCAAATAGTCAAGAGAAGGGGCTTGCCAGCTTGTGAAGCTGCAGAGGGAAACCCAGCTCCAAAGAGGCTTCAGGTTGGTCGTCCAGGACCTACCTTCTTCCCCTGTTCTGTGAGTAAAGAGCTCTTTGATGGCTCTCTACCAAAGGTGTCTTAAGCCATACGCAAAACCACTTGACCCCTCCATCAGGCTCATCACATCCTCTACATAGTAAACAGAAGATGTAGATGAGATGTTAGGTAAGATCTGGAGAGCAAAAAAAAATGGGTTTCTTCTGTTAAGAAGTCAACAGTGTATGGCTAGCGTCAGATCACCCTATAAGAGCTTTCTCCTTCGTGCACAATTTTTTGTTTGCTCGAAGAGATACAAGGCCAAACCCTTGTTTGCTGCAGAGATATAAATACATCCAAAAAGTGAACTTCATCACAGCAGTATTTACCAAATGAGAACCTGGGTCATAAGCAGTATATGCTGAGCAAATAAAACCCAAATCAAACAAAACAGGGTAAACCCCTGCAGCAGTATTACTGAACTCAAGCAAAGGTGCTGAATAATTTTCCAACTAGAGCATTTGGAAAGAAAAAAATGGCCTGCTCGCATCTGATGAATAATACCATTCCTGCAATTTCTTTGCTTACAAAAAACATGTTCTGAAAAGATACATGGTATAATTATCTGTATATAATACTGCAGTGTGAATGCCATTCCGGCCAGAGGAGAAAGCACAGACAATGCAGTGCTTGCCTCGCTCCGCAGAGTTTTAAGTGGGATCTGCATGCATGAGTGGGTGGATTATATTATGATTTAACCTCTACTGAGCTTGACCTATTTGCACTCCAGAGGACAGATTTTGATGCCACATTCATTCATTATATACCTTTGTTTCAATGTGTAGCAAAGCCAGCACTATCCAGGTTTAGGAGTCAGTGGTGAGTATGGATAATTATGTGGTGCTGCTGGGTGCCATGGTAGCATGTATCACATAATATATGTCCCATGTAGACAGTTAACACATGGCTTCAGCACGTTTTAGCTATAAAGGAGAGTAAAAAAACCAGAGAAGTTTCCTGACAAAAATTCAGGGTGAGAATGTCCCTGACCAGTAAAAAGCTGAGATCCAGAACTGAACTTCAGCACATGGGCTGGTCCCTAAAAGATGAAAGCTTTGCTCTTATCTGTGCTGTTAATATAATAAAAATACAGCCAGTCTGGAAGGTCTGGAAGGTTTTGACACAGAGAGGATGTCCCAGGAGGCCACTGTCTGCAGCAGCACTGAGAGCAGGGCTGCCCGCTGGGAACACGAGGCTCTCCTGCCCCAGCCCAGGCAACCCACCAGACCCCCAGAGCCCCAGTCATCACCCCTGTGACGTGGAGACTACCCAAAAAGTCTGCAAGGCAGAAGCATGGGATTACCACCATGAAGCATGCTATTTTTGTATGATATTACTCCTAGCACCCATGCTGTGCTTCCTGAATGCCAAAGTAACGCTGATCCTGAATCATTTACAGTATTACCTCAACAGACAGCCTAAAAAAAGGCAGATAGAGCTGAAATGAGCCAAAACATCAGGTGCTGTATAAGACAGCAGCGATCAAAGAGCTGAAAAAAGATGCACACTACTGATATAGATGCAAACTTGCTGAATTTTAGTACTTATGAAAAGTGCAGGGTTGGCTGCCCTGGATACTAAAATCCTCTCTCTGTCCAAAACATGCTTGCTTGCCTTCTCTGCCACAAACTTGGCCTTAAAGGAGTATTTCTCGGTGATGCAAATGGCTCATCCTCTGCAGCTCTCAACTCCTTGGCCTTTTTTCTCTTGTGCAGCCCGAAGAAGTGGAGTGAAACCAAAGCGTTTCCTAAATGGCATTTTCCATGAGTGATGGCAGGGAGAGAGAATGCATCTATCCAGCCGTAATGCTAAGCAACTGTATTTTCCCAAATCCATACAAGCTCAGATTAAACAAAGTGGTCTCTGCAGCAATTGCCCTGATACAAGTGAAATCTGTTTTCATCTTTTCCCCAGAAAATCTGATTACTAAAGTCTCAATCCTGTCACGCATATTTGTCCCAGACTTGAGAAAAACCCCAAAGAATGCTTTGAAACCAAATTACCACCAATCCCCAAATCATCAGCTGTTTCTATCCATGCTTAGCCTGTGTTAGTCCCTCTGCAGCTCAGACAGACACTCAAAATAATAACTCATAGAGGCAATTTCAGAGACACACAAGTCCATTTCCATGCTTCATATATTACTTATAATTCTAGCATGACCTAGCATAAAAAATTTATATATTTTTTCTGCACGTTTTCCAGCCATTATTGACAACAACACAAAATTTGCAGAGAAGAGATGTTTGTTTAATCTGCCAGCATTTTTATAAATATTCCTCTTTCCTTACTCACTGGCTGTCATTTCACTTCTGATTTTTTTTTTCAGTATTTAATGAAAGAGCAGTAACTTCCTGGGCACTTGGTTCAGATACAAAGCTGGCTCTGAAGGCCAGGGGAGATAATAGCACTTGGTGTCCCACCATCTGAACTGCCCACAACCAGTGTTTTTTTAACCAACGTCACATTGTTCCCTTTACAGCTTTTGAACAGATCCACAGAACCTCTCCATACTACTGTGGAAACCAGAAAAGTGCAGCCAATACTGCCAAATAATTAAATGACGGCATTTAAGCTTACAAGGAAGTACTAGACCAGACAGGACATCATGACTAACGCAAATTTCTGATAGAAAGAGAAAGAACCATGCAATGCTTTCCCTAAAGGAAACAGGGTATGAAATGTTAGAGGTCGGAAAAAGAAAGCGACATTACATTGTATGTGATTAACCATTTAAATTGAAATGCTTCTTATATTAACCAGTTCCTCAAAACTAGAGAGAGACGTGATGGACAAATTTTGGTATTACTGGGTTGAGTGTGTTTTACATACTGAGTAAGATTTTCAAGAGGGAGGAAAGTCCACGTGACACAAAAAGAAAACCAAATCTGCTGCGATGTGCTATGGGAAGTTATGAAAAGGAAAGGAAAAGCTAGAAAACAGGTGAGGAGTACAAACAGTGCTCAGACGTGGGCAGATGTTTTCCCTTGAGAACAGTGGTTGCAAACGCATATGACACCTAAAAAGTCCAGTTTCAAGCTTAATGACAGCAGCATTCGGGCACAGGAAATGCTGCCACAGAAGATAATTTTTGCACTTATTCAAATACTGTCATTTAAAACATCAGGAAAAATAGCCTCATGTGGCTGTACTAAGTCCCTCCTCAAACACTGTGGTTTAGGGTAATACAGTTACTGAGATTAATTCTGACTTTTAGACATACTAGGAAAAAAATAATGACAGAGCTCTTAAAAATACTTAGATGAAAACTGTAATTGCAAAAGTGACCCAAAGCTAATGCCATAGCAGAGGAAAAGAATATGCCTTAAGGGAAAGCTTTCCCAGATGGTTTCTTATTTCTATTTACTTGACAAAAGCAACTTTGCCAGCTAAATCTAATTTTAAGTTTGCCTTGCTCCAGTTAGGAGTGGGGACCTGCCTTCCGATGGCAAAAGTCACAGCGTGAATTGCAAGGGACATAAGCCATGTGACAGTTGGATGGCCCAATTCCTGGTGAGCGCCTTCACCTGAAAGAATAAATAATCATATACAAAACAACTTGCTCCTGAATGAAAAACTCTCCAAAGCCAGAACATTTCTGACAATAAGGGATTCAATCTTATTAATTCCCTAGGGTGCTTTTTTTTTTCCTCCCCAATATCTTTTAATATTATTTCTATTTTTCTTCTCTGTTGCCATTATTTAATTCAACATGTACCTTCATTAATCCTCCAGATTAAGGCCAGACTGGGATGTGCTGAAATCAGTCTTTCCACTGGCTTCAATGTGAACTGGATGGGGGATTAAATTCTTCTCTCACTGATGCTGGTGTAAATTTGAAGCAACTACTAGGGCAGGGTGGGCTGGCCCAGAGTTTGAGCTTTCCCTTCCTAATGCCTTAGGATGCAGCTGTGGGAGGGAAACAGGTATTTTTGTAAATACAGCAGCATTTCAAAGAAATGGGATTTGTCACCTTGCAATTTTCCACAGTTTGGGAAAAGGTCGATTTCTAAAGATGAATAATAGGTGGGAATTTTTGGAGAGGGGGTTTCTAGCAGGGATAACCTGGGTTTAGATCAGTTTTCTTCACATGGCTTTGTCTGTGGTCTGTAAGAAGACATCAAATCACTGCTGAGGAAGCCTGCAGATGACACAGACATCACCAGGGTTCTAAATCACAGAGGGACAGATGACCTGCACAGGCTGGTTTGTATAATTTAGGAAAATAAGCCGTCTGGACAACATTATTTGAACAATAGCCAAAGGCAAGGTCTTACATCAGAGCTGCAGAACATGTACGAGACAGAAAATGGGGTGCTGGGATGCAATCGCCCTGGAAAGGACTTGGGGATAATAAGAGGTGACCAGCACATCTCTTGATGCAACAGAAAACAGCAGCCACTGG